GTCTGACAAACAACCAATGAACACGCGATATTTTCATTCCCGCGAATTCACAGGAAGCGTGTTAGCGTTAGTTTCTAAAGATGGAATGCGATGTTATCGAAACTCCGAAGAAAATATCAGATAATGATCGCTGTTTTGTTTGCTCTTCTGCTGTTTCTAAAATCTGTTTATTTGGGAGAAGTGCTTGGAATTTTCCTGAGATGATAAAGGCTTGTATCGATGTTGACCTCTACAGTTATTCGAACTCAAGAGAGCGACCAATTTGTCGCGAGTGCTTCAAGCTTCTAATAAAGTTCTTCTCTAAAGTTCTTCTATAATTACTGTTATGGCTTCTTTCTGATGCAAATTCAAGCTCTCAATACCAAAAGCATCTCACACTGAGTCGAAAGCGTCTTCAAGAGATGTCATTTTGTCAGTTTCAACGCTCAGATAATACGAACTCTGTGATTGGTTTGATTATTGAGGCGTGAACGCTTTCCAGAATATGGTAAGTAAATGCTGATTGGCCAATTTCCGGAAAGGAATGTTGTTCGAATGTGAGCAGCCATTGGTGGGGGAGTATTCGCTTGCGTGACGACGCCGGAAAGGGCTGTAAGAGAGACTAATGACAAGGCCGGAGAGAATAAAATCAAGGGACCGTAGTGAAGATGCTGCCGAGACCAAAACATTGCAGACTGCAAGTGGTCATACTACATAGGACACCATTTAACGCGACACGATAAATTCCAAAATGAAAGTCAAAATGAAGATATAGGCATGTCGTTGTCTTGTTACGTTTTCTGCACAATACGCAAAGTCCCTGTTTGTTACTGTCAGGGGAAATGCCTCGGAAGTAGGCCAAAGGAAGCGTTTTCATCAAAACAAAAAAAAAAACAAAATCAAACCAAAAAAAAAAATGCCGACGCCAACTATCAACTTCGCGCCAAAGGCTGCAAAGAATGATGAACTAGAAATCAAACGGTATCAATTCGATTAAGAAACATCTACAAGTACTATTAGATTTTAAGCATTTTTTTTTCTTTTTGACCCCTTTATTGCAAAAAAAATTATCTTTAGTAAGTGCATACTGTAGAAAATAACTACACACGAAATCGCAGCTACTAAGATTAGCCCTAAAAGGCATATGAACGATTTAAGATGACAAAACGTTTCCATTAAATGGTTAGAAACCAGCCACTAACACCTAGTTTTGAACGTCGTTCGACCAGTGAGCATGCAAGACAAGTTCTCCCTGACTTTTAAGTTTTGTATATGTACAAATGGTACAGCCTCTTCATCGCACAAAGTTACTACCTCATCGACGTTCTTTAAAAAATGCAAATGATCTCTTAATCGACCTTCTCGCAGCCGCTCGCCTTGCAAATGCGGGTGTAGTGAAATGTTCTAAAGAACATGTTTTTGATATTACTTTAGTACATCAGCGAGCCTACCTAATGATGTATGTTCTCAGTCTTTGCGATCTTTCGTTGTTTAAGCTTGAGTCCTCTTTCTTTGAGGGTTATAAAGATAAACTTGTGGCTCCTCTCTTGTTACACTTAATTTTCAGAAGAATTACTACCGAAAAAAGCCAAATTGCACTTAAAGATTGCCATGCGTGACAGCCGGCTTACGCGACCTCCTTAAGTACTTTTGTGTTCTTTTAATATCGAAAAAATTCCCTTAAATTACATCTAATTTATTAGTTCAAATTCCAGTCGAAGAAATATCAAGCACTACCTCGTCTTTCTTACATCCTATCGTAAACAATATTCTACTCCTTAGACACGTCGTCTCTATTCCTGCGATCATCGAAATTTTCACGGTCTTCTTCATCCATTTCGGTATCACCCATCTGATTTTCAGTTTCGTTTTAGTCTTCTACAAGTGGTTCTTCCTTGGTTAAGAGAGTCTTCTCTGTATCGCCTGCGGAATCAATCGCTTGATCATCAGCCGTTTCTTCGATAATCTCTTGATGTCCTTCCCCTGACTGATATTCACTTTCAAGTCCACCTCGCTTTGAGGAACCAAAGGTGACTGAAAATCCCGAGCTTGGACTCGATGTTTGGTTCGAACTACCAAAAGTGAAAAATGGTTTCGTATCACCCTCTTGACTTGATACACCGAAGCCATACGTAAAGCTCCCGCCGGAGGATGAGGCGCCAGATCCAAATAGGAACGACGATTTGGCTTCCTTCTTTTGGCCTTGACTTGGTTCTGCTCCTGGTTTAATACTTCCACAAGCTGCACACGCTACTTTATCGCTGTCGTTGTTTACCATACAGACAGCACATTCCCACGATCCTTCAGCAGGTTTAAACTTGGACACAAGATCTTCTTTGGCATCTATGGTCTTGGGTTCTATGTGTGGTTTCACTGGTGTCGGGTTCTTTAGCATTTCGAGACATTCTTCAAACTTCTCCTTGTACTGCTTGGCTGTCTCTTCTGATTTAAATCTCACAGCAAGTCGCTCAGCTCTACATTCCCCCTCTGAAAAGTCTGCCATTGTGCTCCACACCCACGATCTATCTGAACCTGCATTGGGCTGTAGTTTCATGTCAGCGGTTATCTGGTGATTTGCACATATTTTAAGCACCTGATCCCGCCGCATCAGAACTCTCATCTTTCCACTTTGTCTATTTTTCAAAAGCTTTATATCCCCAACTCCTCGCTCTTTCCACTGCTTGTACTCAGCAACAAAACGATATAGCTTGGCTCGGTGAGAAAAAATTACCTCATCATCCTCTTCACCAGTTTTGACATCAATCTTTTCGGGAAGAGGAATAATCGGCTCAAAATGTGGTCCATCGTGGTTATCATCACCTGTTTCATCATCTTCGTCTGCATTTTTGGAGGCAAACAGTTGTGACCCAGCTCCTGAAAATCCACCTTTAATTTTCTGTTCAAAAGGACTGCTGCCCAGTGAAGAAGCAACAATGGATTGGAAGGTCTAACACGACACACTTGCAGAGCCGAAAAGAAAGCCTGTCTCGTTGGAGGTCGAGGTGGAACTTTCCTGAGGATTGGGATCACTTGTTGGTTGATCCGACTGCCTGTTAATTCAACATAGCAATGTGTTACGTGACTCCATCAATTTGAATATATGAAAATCATATATGTGTACTGCGGTTTCATGAGGTATGAAAGCGATCCTTGCAGTAATAAACCCTTCTTATGTAGTAGTGAAAATAAGGCCTCAAAAAAAATTAAGGCCCGTACGGTAGTTGAACCCATTACTTCTGCGATACCGATGCAGTGCTCTACCAAGCAAACTAACAAGCCAACTTGGACTTGTTAGCTCAGTTGCTGGAGCACTGCTCCGGTATCGCAGTGGTCGTGGGTTCAACTACCGTACGGACCTGAATTTTTTCAGGCCTTATTTCCACTACTTCATAAGTAGGGTTTATTACTGCGACGATCGCTTTCATGTTACGTGACGTTTAGACATATATACATCCACATAACTTGAAAAGATCGAGATATCGATTTCATATATGTATGTGCATTCCACTGCACCAACGAAGGATTACCCACCTGGCGACCGTCTCCGACACATCAGAGCTGATTTCAGGCGACGAGTTTTCATATCCAAAGAAGTTACTTGGCAATTGAAGCCGTTTGGCTTTCTCCTTTTGATCAGCCGTCACTCCTTTCTCAAAGAATATCACAATATCTTCTCCAGGTTCCTCTGAGGCTCGTGTGTCAGGAGGTTTGCTTTCTGGTTTTGATGAAGACAGACCCTTCTCTGGTTTAGATACAAGCAACTGTGCAGCACTGTCGAAGGTTTCTTTGAATTTAGTAGCAACTTCACTTGTTCTAAACCTTGCAGCTAAAGTCTCTGCTGTGGCTTCTTCTTCCGAGAAGTCAGCAAGTGTTGTCCAGAGCCATGCCTTATCGGAGTTTGGAAAAGGCTTCAGGATCATATCCGTAGAAATCACGTGGTTAGCACAGAGTTTCAAGACATGTTCACGCCTCATTAAAATCCTGTTTTTATTAGATTTCGAGTCACACAGTATCTTGATATCGCCAACACCTCTTTCTTTCCACTGCGATGTATCACCGTCATACCTGAACAATTTACAACGTTCACAGAAAAGCACCTCTTGACCTTCTTCTCCTGTTCGGCATTCCACCTTATCAGGAAGTGGTATTAGGGGCTCGAAATACGGACCATCATCTTCTCCACGGCCAGGACTCTCAGGAGATGACGGCGTCGTAGGTGATGATGGTGATTTAGGTTTGCGAGATGGTGACCCAGGTAAAACTGTCAAACTGAAGGTGAACTTCACAGGTGTTGTTCCACCAAACGGAAGACTACTGGGTAAGTTACTCTTTTCAGGTGTCGTTGCAGGCTTTTGCAGCAAGATACTTCCTTGCTTACTAGGAGAAGATGTCTTCCTTGGAGACAGGTAAATTTCATCTTCTTTTTCTTCATTTGGATCTCCACGTCCAATAGTAAAGAGTTTCGAGCTAGCCAGTGCCAGGCCACCAGGTGATTGGATAGTGAATGAAGCTTGAGAAGGCTCCTTTATTACGTCCTGAGCAGTGTTTGCTGCTTCTGATTGAAGGACCCCAGCATTCGACACTGGTCCTGAAGATTTCAAATTTTCTTCCTTGGCTTTGGACATTGTTCCCTGAGGTTCTGTTGCAGTCTTACCAAAGTTACATGCAATGCATTGTAAATGTTCGGCATTGTTATCAACGTCACACACTTCACATATCCACGAACCTGGAGCAGGAGCAAACCTCGACAAAAATTGCTTATAAAGTGCACAACCAGTTCCTTGTTCATTACCAGCTGCCTCCTTTGCAGGGCTAGTTTCTAAGGGTAATGTCTCTTTGAGGTCATCAAATACTTCCTTGAACTTTCCAGCAATTTCTTCAGACTTAAACCTAATGGCGAGCCTCTCTGGTTTCGCCTCACCCTCGGTATAATCGGCTGGAGTGAACCACATCCAAGAACGATCTGATCCAACATTGGGTTTGAGTTCCATCCCAGCACTGATGTAATGATTGGCACACAATTTTTTTATCTGCTCCCGTCTCATGAGCACTCTTCCTTGACCAGACTTTGGATGCTGTAAGAGCTTCATTTCTCCAAGCCCTCGTTCTTTCCATTGACTAGAATCACTGTCAAACCGGTATAGCTTGCCTCGCTCGCAAAACAGCACATCTAAACCTTCTTCACCTGTCACAACATGAATTTCATCTGGGAGAGCAATGATTGGCTCAAAGTGAAGTTTATCGTCATCTTGCCCTTCGACGTCTTCACTAGTCTCAGCAAATAACTCTTTACCAGCTCCTTGAAATGGTTTAAAGCTCTCTCTTTCCTGAGTCATGGAAAATGCATCGTCTTCTTTGGGCTTTAGAGATGAAAATGTCAGTTGACCAACCGCAGAGGACTCTCCAAACACATGTGAGGTGGGTATACTTAGTTTTGGCCTTAGATCACCATCTTTAGATCTGGGCTCAGTGCCCTTTGCTTCATTCTCGTTCTTTGATATCATAGGCTCTTTTGATATCCCATAACCATAGCATCCACTGCAAGGTGAGTGTTTAGTATAATTGAAGAAATTTACCGGTAGACAAAGGCGACATGCTTTCTCGCGATCACCTATTGTGGCACGAACTTCATAAACGAGAACACAGTCTTCGTCTTGCTTTTTTGTTGCCTTAAGTGGACTCTTAGCTGTCAAAAAACGTCTCCCAGTCACGTGAGAAGGAAGAGTGGCAGGCCCAATGTTCTCTGATGGGACGGAATGAATCGGAACTGGTTTCACTGGGGTGGTTACCACATTTCCTTTACCAGATTGAAACTGTACCTGCACTTGAGATGGTTGCATGGCTGGCATTCTCGAGGGAGACTTATCTAATTCATCCTCTTCATCGTCGGTGGCAGAGTAACTTATGGTTTCATCGTCAGAATCTTCCGTGTCATCAATGTATTTAACATCATCATCATCATGATTATGGTCATATTCTTCTGCTACAAACGATGTAGGCACGGTTGTGCCATGCAAGGAAAACTCCTCTCCTGGCTCGTCAACAACATAAGGTGTAAAGTCATAGCCTCCGGCTGGGGAGTCTGGAGTAACTAATTCTTGCTGTTCTTTTGCAGCAGCAAGGCGTCGAAGTAACTCACTGCTAGAAAAGTCCATGTCGGGTCTGCTACTTAAAGTAAATGCCCCTTGCATCTGAGAATGTGTAAACGGTTGAGGGAACATTTCTGGCGTCTGTGGAGTACCCTTAAGTTGTGATTTGGCAGGATCCGAGAGCGGCCCTGTTCCCCGGTGCCACAAATTAGCTCCACCGAGAGGTGGAAGGGACTGAAGTTGACCAAACTGAAAGGTACCAGTGGGTTGTTGCCAAAACAATTTCTGCTCGGAAATTCCTAGATTGGTGGTGGGCGTACTAAATGAAAACGGAGGATAAGTTTGACCCTGCAAAGCATGCTCTAAAACATTTAGTGGCACTTGACTGTCCCCCTCATTTTTCTCGCCTAATTGAGGATCCGCCTGTTTATCGGATGCAGATAAATCTGGATCAAAAGATGGGGACTTCCCAGTATTAAAGGAACCAAATGGCACGCCGGGATCAGCCAGTTGTGGTGTCCCACCAAACACAGACGTTTCGGTAGACAACAGAGTGTTTTCAAAGGCAGCTTTCTCTGTTGTCGACAAGGAAGGAAATGATGCTCCAGCCATGCCTGACGAGCCAAAAGTGAAGGCAGGGGAGTTTGATTTGTCTGCATTAGCAGGGACTCCAAAGGGCGCCAACACAAATGGTTGAGTCATTGGAGGCTTTGTCCCTGCTGGCAGAGTGGAGGATACACCACACACTTGAATTGGTACAGCTCCTTCTTCGGACTCAGATGCCTTGTTATGAGTTGTTCCGTCTGATGAAGTACCAAACACAAATGGCGAACTACTTGAACTTGTCTTCTCTATTCTGGTACCATTTTCTCTGAGTGAAAAGCTAATTGGCAAACTGCTCGAGGCTGTATTCAGCGTTTGCACGCCGCTCTTTCCAAAGTCAACTTGCGACCCGGTAGAACTAGTATGAATAATTTTGTTAGCATCTTTTCCTATTGAAAAACTAAAAGAGGAGCTGATTGAGGAACCATCCGATGTTTCAAGACCACTATTCACAACGGCAAATGTTGTTCCTGCATCGACATTTGTAACTAAAGATGGGCCTTCAGATGAAGGTTTTCCTTGCAAACCAAGTGGTGGTGAACTACTTGGTGTTGCTCCACTCGAAAATTGAAAACCAGACTTGGAAGCCTCAGGGCGGGAGACAGCTGCATTTACTCCTGACAACTTGGCAGCTCCACAGGCGATGCACACACTTGTATGTTCTTCATTGGAAATTAAACACACAGAGCATGACCAAGAGCCAGGTTTTGCAGCAAATTTACCCATGAGGGCGGAAGTCTTCTTGTTTGTGGATTGTGCCGTTTTATGTACGTTAGAAGTATCTTTCTTTGGTAAATTTTGACAGTACTCAAACTTCTTCTTGAACAATAGGAACTCATCTTGGGTTTTGAACCTCACTGCCAATTGCTCTTGCTTCTCAATCTCCTCTGAATTATCAGCAAAAGTATTCCAAATCCACGCATTGGTCGTGCCTTTCTTTTCTGTTAATTTCATATCATTTGTGATGAAGTGATTAGCACAAATCTTATGGATTGCCTCGCGTCTCATCAATATTCGACTACGTCCCTTCTCTGAGTTATACAGAATCTTTAATATGCCAATACCGCGCTCTTTCCAAGCAGATACATCTTTGTCATAGCGATACAGCTTGGCTCTGCTACTGAACATGACCTCTTCATCTTCCTCTCCAGTTTGTACTTCAACTCGTTCAGGGAGGGGTATGAGTGGCTCAAAATGAACATCTTCAGTGTATGATGTAGAGGAATCATGTCTTGACCTTCCAGGCGATACAGGTGAAGTCACAAGCTCCTCAGCCTGCTCTACTCGCTTTTCTGGGTTGTTGCTTGCGCTTAACCCAGCAAAGAAACTTGAATCAATTTTTAATGGTCCCTTGATCCGAGGCGAAGTAAGAGGTTTTCCGCTTTTCGTTGCAGACATATGCTTTGTACCAGCCGGCGTGGATTCGAACAAAGGTTTACTCTGATCTCTTGGACTTGGATAAAGTGAAGTGGCATCAGGAAATGAAAGATATCCATAACTTGACGCCTGTATTATGTTCAATTGTTTCTAAAGGAAAAAAAAATTGTGTATTTGATTTTCATAGCGCGTGACGAAGATAGTACGTTTAGATTTTACACTCCTTCCATCTTTATTTAAAAATACGTTTTATAAGGCAAGAATATTATCAACGACAAACTCAATAACGTGAGAGCTTTTTGCACTAACCTGCAAAAGTTGTATTTGCTCAGACATGCTGTTCATGGCCTCATCTCTAATGGCCATTTGTTCTTGCAGGTAGCCATTATTGAGAGTCACTTCACTCAGTTTAGCAATCAGATCTTTTGTGCTGGCGTCATGTGGCTAAAGAAAAATTGAGGGGAAAAAAGTCTCCCTTCAAATCAAAAAGTAAATAATAGAAACATTTGGAATAACCGAGTTTGCCTTGCAGTGCTGCAAATAGCCCACAGCCTTAAAACCAGTTGCCCAGGGAATTCTTTAGAGGACTGTTTTACATGACTGTATATTATCATTTAAAAACCTCAGCAAAGTCATGGAAGAAGTCGTTGTCTGTTGGTCAAATGCAGGTCTGGTTCATGAAAACTCACCGTTCAGTTCTGCTATAATAAGTTCTCTTTGTTACTAAGCAAAGATTATTTTCTGTCTCCAGGACATTCAAGAGGGAAATATGAATCAAATCCATTTCATCTTCAAAGAAGAATGAAACTCTTACCTGATCCAACCAGAAATTGTCATCGGATTCTTGTACCTCTGATGCATTAGTTGAGCTACGCCGGCTTCCCGGATAAGACGAACTTTGATGACTGTCCAGACGTTGGCCTAAAAAAAAGGAAATTCGTCTGTGCTCTTTTTCAATGTACCTTTTTAAAGAAATACTCACTGTCACGGATAAGTATTGTTTTGAGACTATCCTACTGTGTTATGTCCAATGCTTTGCCCTAAATTTCCTGGATTGTAGCTTTCCTTGTAGCTAGCATGTAGTATTTTTCGGAAGACAATTTTATATTTTTATACTTTACAGAACTATCAAAAACTCTGTTCAGGTCACTATACATAGGATTTCCAATGAAGAATTTAGTATTTACATTAAACAATCCTTACTAGATTTTTAAAGTAAAATAAACAATCTGACGGTAAGACTTCCTCAAATGCGCTAGGGGCCTGGAAAGTAACAGAAAGAAGACAGGATAGGTGGGGGGACAAAATGTCCGTTAAGACCACGTGATACTGAGGAACGGGAGTGAAGGGTTCCATTTTTGCAAAATTGTGCCAGGCTACCTGATGCTGGCTTAGACTGTAAAACTCCGGTTTTCATCAAGCTCTCTATTTCTGTAAGCTCATCCATGACAGCCTTTCGACCAATCTAGGGAGAGAGAATATCAATATTAACATTTCCAAATGAGTGGTAGTATCACCAATATTACTTATTTTGATCTTGTCCTGAACGCAAGCTCTGTTTGAGGAAATACCATACAAAGGGTTTGTGGAGATCATCTTATTTAATTTATCGACTCAATTGACAAGTGACAATGAATCCCCAACTTGAAAACATGTCACCATTTATGTTATATCAAGTAAAACAAATAGGAAGTCCAGTAACTATGGCAGAGCATCGATGCGTGGAATCCGAACGTCTGAGGTTCGATTACTAAAGGAAAATCAAATTTTTTCCGCTGCCTCACGCTTGTGAGAAGACGAAAAACATCACCCTTTCTGTCAAGTTATCACACACTTAAACTCTTAGAAAGTGACGAAAGTGGAAATCTAAATCGACAGTTTTTCCATAAGACACCGGTACATGGATGTGCACCTTTCAGTCTAAAATAAATAGTGTAATAATTGGTTCAAACATACATCAGAGGAATTAGCCATCTTTAGGTAAGACTGAAGTAATTCTCGTGCTTTTCGCAGATTTTGGTAATACTCCTGGGATGGTAGAGTGGATTCCGCCTCGGATTCCTCAGTTGCTGCACACTGCTCAACATGTGCAAGGTATTTGTAACCCTAGAAACAAAACCAAATGACTTTGAAGTCAATAACAATCCAAAAACTACCCTTGAAGATAATGGCATGGAAGCAACGATTTCCATCTTTACCTCTATTGTATTTTAAAATATCTCATCCTATTTTACTACTTGGCCGTCAAACATTCCTTTTAAAGAACGTCGAAAAGAATTTGGATGTGCCAGTCAACATCATGGATGATCCTTTACGGGCCAGTCTAGTGATCTTCCTGAGAGGCACTGCTAGCACTTCTGCTGGCTATACAAATTGAAACGCACAAAACAGACTTCTCCTTGTCTCTCTTACCTGTGCAAGATTGTACAGCCCTGGAGGTGTTTTGACCTGTTCAAAGAGTTCCATGGCTTCAAAGATCTTCCCTTCCTTCAAAAGGCCACCTCCTATTGCCAATCGCACAGACTGACACTGTGTCTTCAAATCATCTTCCTGTAGATAAAGTGACAGAAACTTTTAGCTGTAAGATAATCAAGCCACATGGAATGAATCATTTCCCTCCACTCACCTCTAGTTCATCAAACACATGAAGAAATAAGGGATTCCCACAATATGGTATGCTCTCATTCCTATGGAAAACAAGTAGCCATCGATCAACCACAAAATCAATTTGTCAGTCAAAGAAGGTAATTTTGGTTTTATGAACTGAGTTAATAATGTAAATTGGCCACTGTAAAGATTTTCAAAGCTGACATTAGCATTAGCCTTTCGTCAGAGCAACTCAGTCAGGTACACCAGAGGAGACACGTGACCCAATTTTGAGTTGTTTCTTGTGACTCATAAAATTACTTTTAACTTGAAGGAAACAACAGAATAGTAGCATGACATGACAGAAAAACGATTGGAGAGGAGACATAGACAAATAAGATACTAGCAATGTCCAAACAAGTAGAAGGCCGCCTACAGGAAGATGAAAACAGAAAGTTAGGGGGGGAGTTTTCTACAAGCTTAGGCCGGATTTGGTCATGGTGGCCATAGGAAAAGTTAAAAGGGAACTCACTTTTCAAGCATTTCCAAGATTTTGGCTGCCTGTCTGAAGAAGTGTAAACTCCATTTTTCCAAACTCTGAAATGAAAAATATATATAATGAAATCTAGCCCCACACCAAAATATTTTGTTATGGAATGGCTCAGTGAAGAAAAGGAGAGGTAAGAAAATCAAGTTTCTACAATTTCATAGCACCTGATCCCTAATTTTAAGTATCTAAAGTATTACAAGCTTCCGTCAGAGAAAAGTGAGATATTTTAAGACTTACAATAAATGTCGATAACTTGCATTCTGATCACTATGTATGTAGTCTACTCAACTATAATATATCAGCTATAACATATCAACTATAATATATATTATTAAAAACTGGATCATTGGATAATGCAATTCAAGACTTTTTATTGGCTTAGCCATTATGGTATATGAGCCAATATACCATAATCTACAAATATGGTAAGCATACGCATCAGTTTAAAATCAAAAGGGAGCTAAAAAATCCGGTTTCTTCTCACAAAATAATAATTTCTTGAGGGCGTTTTTAATAAAACAATGATTCCACTCGCGCTTGTTGGATATGAGATGATTATAGCCAACTCGGCGCTACCCGCCTCGTTGGCTATCTATCATCTCATATCCAACGCACACTCCTGGAATAATTGTTAAATATATGATATACATTATAACTATCAGCCTTTATAATATACAACAACAGACCTTCCAATGCTCCTCATAGAACCATGGATTTGGAACACTTCCCTTCAGATATGTTGCCTGAAACAACATGTTGGATATATTACGTTCTGTCAACTAATTTAAAACAAACTCATTTTTCCCTCAACCTGACCAGACATTAAGTAGATTCACATTTCATTTGTAACCTCTCAGAATGTCAAAATTTACAAAGTTCCAAAATACACATAGCCACCTAATACTCTGCTAATTAATCTTTTTTATTTGTCACCTTGTCAATGTGATTCTTGTGAGCTTAATTTTGTTTTCAGTTGACCTTAAAATTAGGGGAAAAAAAAAAACAAAAAAGGAGTGATGATATTTCCTTCTTACTAACCTTTGATCCAAAGGCATTAGCAAGATAGATCAGCAGTTGAACTTCCTGGCCATGTCTCTCGTCCACAGCTCGTATCTTCTCCATACCACACTGAACAGTGTGGCAAGTTTTATTAGAATCTTTAACACTATATAACAATTAAAGTATGGTTAATAAGTTTATGATTCAATAAAACACAAATTTTTGAAATTAACAAAAAAATATCTGATAGTCTCTTGGCCAAGAAAAAAACACTGCATTACACCAGCCACGAAATTTTCCCACAATTGTAAAATCACAGGGTAAAACTTTTTATTTTAACACCTTTCCACCTTCTTTTTAACCATGCATAGGTTACTTTTGCAAGGAAAAAGCTTTATCAGAAAAAGTAACCCTGTTCCAAGCTTTATAAGAAAAAGTAACCTTATACTATTAGTGCAAAAGTTATTTCTTTCGAAATCTGCGACAAGTACACGATCTCAAGTGGTATGAATGCAAAAGAAAAGACCAATGGATTTCCACTACCCTTGAATAGGATGGTTCTTCATCAATATATTACCCCTAATTAGCTGGTACAAACAGGGGTGTGTGTTTCAACCCCAGAAGGACAAGGCAAATTAAGAGGGGTCAAACCAACCACCTGCTGTTGCAAAGAACCTACTTGTATTCCATTTTACCTGAATCGTGTGAATAAGCTCTGTACCCAAGAAATTTGTCATGGCTGGATAAACAAACACCAGGTATAAACAGTTTGATCACATCTACCTTAACTTAACTAAACCTCTACCTGAATTTTCCAGTGTAGAGATTATATGCACATGTCCACCACTCCTGTTGAACAGGTAAGCTTAGAGTATCACAAAGCGGCTGAGGTAGAATTTGAGGCTCATAATCCTCATAAAAAATGTCTTTGTCCTCCAGAACTCTAGCTGCTGAAGTCCTTACAACTGCATAAACAAATGCCTAGTAGTAAACAAACAGCTATTTTAAGGTGTATTTTTGAAAAAAGGTTTGAAATGACTAGATGATGCTGGAAAGAAGCAGGTGTTGGGTATCCTCATTTAAAGTTGTAACATCTTCTTGGCTACATCTACAAACACATTGTATGATTCATGAAAGAAGTAGCTGGCAAAACATTACCAATCTACCTAATGAAATAAGCTGACTGCCAGTTCTATTGTAAAACCCTGTAGCCACAACAGACAAAGCAAAGAAACAAATCCAAATGCTTATCAATTTAGTTATAATTGTTTGTCCATGCAGAAGTCTCTGCATTACCTCTAGGTCCCTCAAGCATAACATGTTAGGAGCAATGTGTTTCTCAATGCTTGGAACATCAAGTCTCAGCTCTGGAAAAATGTCCTTCACCATGATACCCACTGAAGGAGGAAGATCAATGTTAATCAGCAAGAAATCTGAAGTTATAAATAAAAAATGAAGAGAAAAGTCAAGTGTAAGGAAGCTTTAATCCAACCTCCAGGCCTCATTTCCTTGTTGTATTGATACCAGTGTAATCCAATCCAGGTCATGTTTTCCAGGCTACGAGGATTCTCCCCAACTGCCACTACAATTCAAGAGATTCGAAACTATTACACAACTGAAAAACTAAGCAATGACCAACCAAAGAATAGGAGAAGTCTAGCTAAACTACTGACAAATGATTTTATCCATCAAATTCAAAACAACAATTTTAGCAATTTCCTGATTGAAGCAGCATGCAGGATGATTGTCTCATATGCATGACCTGTACTACCAGACATATTTAGCAAGGACACTTCTTCTGAAAAACATCTGTGACCTTCTCTCCCCCTCTCCTTCCAATGTTGTCAGATGCCAAATGTATCTATGACATCAGGCAGACCAACACTGAGAGGGGAGAGGGGAGGTGTCTCACGAAATGTGTTTGAGAGTGAACCTCACCAACAAGTTTTTCAGTGGCCTAGTGGGAAGAACATCCAGGGGCAACTTCCTAAGGAAGACTCAGTATTATCCATACCACAGTTATGAAAAATTCATAATTAATCTTGACTGTCGGCCGACTGTTGGCCAAGAGTTGGCTGTTTGTCGGTCGACTGTCGGCTGTTTGTTGGTTGACTGTTGGCCAACAGTCAGCCAACAGGTTTTTTGGGGAGCTATTATTGAATTTTACCCATTTTCTAGACAAAACTTTCCACTATTCTTGCAGAATGACAACCTTTCATCACCATCAAAAAACAGTCTGCAGTTTACCTTCATCCCAACCAACCAGTTGATCAACATCTGGTATTGTCATCTCAGTATCACAATAGTCTTCATCACATGCCAAGAAAGACTATGGAATGAAGAACAAAAAGGAAAATTATCATCAAAGTCCACCAACTCCTTAACTCAATCTTATCTCTGACAGGAACAGCAGAAAATGTACTGCAAAACATCTCTAGTCTCAGATTGAGAATCCATTATTTTTCCTTTCTGACAAATGCTGTCTCTAGACTCCACTGAGTTATGGATGCATGTGGGAGGTTGCTGAGCATGAAAGAAGTGCCAGAGTCACTCGAGGCAAGTGCATCCACAACTCAATAGTGTATGCTGTGGTGTTTATCAATTGTTTTATAACATAAAAAACAACTTCTTGCAAAACATTTGCTTACTTAGAAACATTTGCTTGCCCCAGCAGCTACACCCATTGGCAAATAGTAGACACTGAGTTGACCTTTCAGACCATGCATTGTATGTAATTTATGTTATAACTGACTAGAGCTCATCTTAACACTTAACAATGCAATGCTTACTTTAGACAAATCTCTCTCATCTCTGTAAAGTGCACTGAGGATGTCATGTTGCCCCTGCCTTGAGCAGCAGTCTGTGTGACAGGTGTCCAACCAATCTTGACCTAGCTTGTCTCTTGTGGCCATGAGAAAATGCCCTGCGGATTGAAATATGCTTTCAATGGAAAAATAGCTTGGATCCCTTGAACAAAACCTATTTAAACACACCTATTCAACTTCTCTCAAGTCCCTTATCTCAACTCCCGTTATCATGGACTCTTAGTTCTTATTCACCACTTTTCAAGCCATGTAACAAATCAACGTAGCTTGAGGGTAGGATGGGAAGAAATAAAACAAATAAACCACTTACCAGTTTGGCTGAGCCTTGAGCAGGCCATGATGTACCATTTGAGAGGGTCTTTGTTTTTAGGGGCTCTAGCAACCCAGGGTGTCTTTGTTTCAGGCTGAAGAATACTGACACTTGCCAAGTAACAGGCACAAGCCAATCTCAGCCCTCTAGGCCAAGTTACAAATTTCTATAGTAAAAAAAAAGAAAACATAACCAGATCTTACCAAATTAAATATATCTTCCAATAAAAGACTCGTTTTCTATGATGACACTCAAAAGAAGCCTCAGGTGAATTATGTAATTTATTTCCAGTTAGGAAACCAAAAAAAGATTAATCCTTGGAAAAGTCAACTTTAAACAGGTATTTAGACACAAAAGGACTGTCCAAATTATTTTTACATGGACTTATACTTGACACAACTTAACAAAACAAGATTCAAGACTACCATTGGTAAACATAAATTATGACATTTTTTCAGGCAGCAGTATTTTCAAAGCTTGTACAGAAAAATGTTACCCTCATTCATTTCCACAGTCAATGAAAAATGACAATAGTTTGCAGCAAGTAAGGTAAGAATCAACCATCATAATGACTGAGCAAACATTCACAGTTCTGTACGCCATGAACCTTTATGGTAACCACTACATGTCCACGAGGAAATGATCAAATCATCATTATTAACCTAAGTTGACTTGGACAGAGCACACGTATTTTTTCTACAACACTTGGAATACCTCCTTGGCAAGTCGAATTAAAAAAGTGCCGCAGTACATGTAAAGCTGAGCTTTCATCTCTGATAGAATCACTTCCCACTCAGTTGGTCCACCTGATATTGATCGTCTCGGTGACTGGCGGATTTTACGCCCATAAGCCATAAACAAACAGTGATCTAACCTAATAATATTAAATGATGTTAATATTTTATTATTATTGATCAATACTTCATCAGCCTAACTATTAGCAATGTTTTTAAAAGTAATAAAAAAGGATGTGTTGTTTGGTCCATAAGGTGTCAAGTACATGTAATCTTCATCTTTGTCTTTGTCAATGATGACATGTGTGATCAAAGGTGTTAATGAGCATTAACCCATTGACGTCCAGTGCGCCTGTATGCGCCCATGGGGACCCACACCCTTTCTACGCCTTGTGACGTCATCACTTTTAACCCTGGAGCACGAATTTGAGCACCTAGTTGAACAGGTTGAAAATATCTTACAGATGATACCAGAATGAGCGCAATTGAGTGAAGGAGATTGGAGAAATAGCCAAAAAACCGTGTCACTTTGACCTGAAAATCTGCACGAAAATCGTGTTTCACTACCCACCTACCTTTCCGAGCATGTGCTTTGAAAATAATGAGTAGTTTCTGAAAAATCTCTACACCAAAATGAAGCCTACTCAATTTCCAGCAAGTGAGGAGAAACTTCAGGCAAGGAGAGGGGGAAAAAAAGGGCAGGAGAAAGAGAGAAACGTAGAAGTCGTAAGTGGGGCATGACTTTTCAACCCAAAAACTATGTCGAAATCTTGCTCTCTGCACATGCGCGAGATTTTCAGGCCGCCATTTTGCATTTGGATCGAAAGGCCATCCAGTGCACGAGCTGTCAAGGGGTTTTTGTTAAGTTTGAGCTTTTAAAACCACAACAGTGACCCAAAATCTGCTCGACTAACCTCAAAACACAGTTTTCCACAAAAGCTGCGGCCATTAATGGGTTAATGGACAGGATGCAAAATTGAGAAAACTTTACCAAAGCAAAAATACAAAACTGGAGGGGTGTGCAGAATGAGGCTTAAATGACATCCAGTGCAACATTTACTTCTCCTTCTTTTATCACCAGGAAATATTGGAGAGTCAGTTTTCATCCAGGTGTGGCACAGTCATCCATACTGTTCATTATAACTAAATTGATTTTAAGTAAGTGATTTCCTTTGCCCTACCTGAAGAGAACATTGATAACTTCACGAGTGCTGCATTCACGGAGATTTAGCTCCAAAAACTGACAAAGTGCAATGAGAAGGTAGGCATGTACATCAAGTATGCTGTTACCAGTACCTACTGCCTCATCTTCCAGTACTGCAGGCAATAGAAATTTGAATAAATTTACAGCAAAAAATGTAAACTTTAAAAACAATGCCTTAGAATTAATTATGTACCAAGGGATTTAGTAAATTTCAGTCTACGTCAATGGTCTGCAAAGTTAATATCAAATTGTCTATGTGACTGTTAACCATAAGAGAGCTTTTTTGTCACTCAGAAAAAGTAAAGTATGGTGAAAAATCCAGCATCCAATACTCACTGTGCTTTTCCAGAGATGCAAGGTATTTCTACAAAGAAAAGAACAGGCTTAATGATGTTGTTCTGTCATATAACAAGAGTAGAGGAGTCTTCAACTGCAAGCAGTCATGCTCTAGAGTCTTACCTCAAACATTTCCACACTACATGCAACCCATGGTAGACTGTCTTGGAAGGCTTTTGTTTTCAAAACTGTCGCACAATGACTAAAAGCCTCATCAAGACGTCCTGAAAAAAAACAAACAAACAAAGAGTTTCTCCTTACAATATCAATACAATACTAAGAAAACAAGTGATGAAGTGATGGGAATAAAGAAAAAAGTGGGGTGAATAATTATTAGTTGATCCAATGACAAATTCTCTAAACTTACATGAAAAAAAATGTATAGCAGACACTATGGAGATTTCAAGACTTGAAAAGCATCATAATCAATGATCAGTAGTACATTACCTCTCACAGCATACAGTCTCACCAATCTTACATGTAAGTCAACTTCTCTGGGCCTCTTGCTCTAAATTAAAAACAGAGATAGGTACATCATATATTGTATACAGTTGGAGACCGTTTTTTACCCTGTCTTAGAAGAAAGTATTGTGTGTGTGTCACACCCTCCTTCTTCCACTTATTTGCACCGTTACCCATTAATAATGGGGAGTATAAGGAAATAACGAAAGAGAGAAACTTACAAGTTCTTCAGAAATCAAATCTTCAAGAGCCTCATAATCTCCAACTTCAGCTGACTCCAGAAGATGCAACTGTAGTGTAAAGAAAACTTGATTGGTTAGTTTGTTAATTCATAAGTAGCAAAACATCAATATCACTTTGACATTTTAGAAAACATTTGAAGCACATGTCACTCAAAACAAAACCTCACCCTCAGACTGAACACATCTGGATGGCCAGGAAACAGACGAGCACCTCTGTCTGCCCATGCCTGTGTGGTCAATTCACAAAATTAATCCACATTAAGAAACAAAATTTCAAAGTTTCACCATTTGAGGTAAAGAGTTGTATTAGTACTAACCTTAGCTCTTTCTGGATGAACTGGAACATTGCAGTATAATTTTACCACTGAAATAGATTTTGCAATAATTTCAATTATTGTTGTTCTTTTCCAGTTAATCACTATTTGATAGCTTCCTTTAAAACAAGTCTTTGATATAAGAAAGCAATTAAAGAAACAGAAGAGAGGGATCAATTTGCAATTCAATGAGCATCATCCTGACCTTTCAAAACTAGTTCCTTTTGACTGTTATTCAATTCCAAAGACCTGTAAGATTCAATTGTTTAATATCATCACAATTATTATCAAATTATTGCTGTAATCATTATCATTATTGTCATAATTGATAATAGTATACACTGAAACAATTGATACCATCAAGGCCATGCTCTGATTGGCTATTCAAATTCCAATATCAGCACGAGCAGGATTTTCACCCAAAAATATTGTAATTGTTGCAGGAAGAAATGGGTTATAGTCATCTTTTTGTGCTTTATTATCTCACTGTTTTAAGAGACACTAAAACAGCTACTGAACTCACCACTTTGCAGCTCTGTAAATATCCACTACTAGCCACCTTAACTTCAGTGAATAGTTGTTAATTACTCATATTACATTAATTTATTATAATTGACTCTAAATCCTAAGACATCAATCACCATTTTGAGAACTACTACACCTTGAAGAGCATGACTAAATATCAAACAGAAAAACACACAATACCTGCGATATGAAGCCACAGCCCTTTCTAGTTCACCCATTCCTTCACACAGCTGCCCCATGAGATAATGACCCCTATGGATTGGAAGCAAATATCAATGGAGCATCATTTAAATATTAGGGTTTATTTCTCATAAAAACTTAGCTGTATATTATCTGATTTGGGGATGAATGAATGAATGAATGAAGAACTTTTTTTAACGTGTCTTTGAGAAAGCAGCTGGGGGGAAAAGTCCCCTCTGCAAATTGAGGACACCTGTTGATGCTATCTAAAATGGATTAGTAAAACAAATAGATAAATTACCTTATTTAAATTTATAAAAGAAAAGAGTAGCGTATTCTTCAAGTATCCCTTTAAAGGTTTTTCTACTGTTGTAGCTCTTACAAAACAACTCAACATACACACCATAAATAATCAAAAGGATGGGAACATTTAGTATGATTAACATCTGACATTCATGAGCACAAAACCAAATAAAGTGATATAGCGAAAAAAAAAAAAAAAAAGAAAAAGAAACCCATAAAATAGTATAAGCTGTGAAATTATCTGAGACTGACTTACCATAGAACTTTTCAATCGGAGACAAACACACATAATTATTACCTTAGCTGTCAGTCTTTTTATATACGTATAAATCAAACCTACCTAAAATCAGTCTCATTTTCGCCAATGTAAGCTTCCAGATGTCTAACAAGGGAAAAATGCACACTACACTTTTAACTACAATTATCATCATGGCAGTGCTCTATATAAATCATCACATCCCCACAAAACTTCCCCCATCCCAACTCATCCGATTGAGAGGCTGATCGGGGTCACAACAACACATTCATGGGATAAAAGAGAAGTGACATCCTTCCTAGGCTGAGGGGAACACTTGACTGAGGGGAATCAATTGATTAAAAGTTAGGGGTGCAAGCATCTATCGATACGGGGTGACAATATATCGAAAGCGTTTGTTGAGGGTAAGAGTAAGCGGTAGTTTGGTCAGCAGGGAAATTATGAAACCCATGAATATTCTGAAAGCCCCCAAAAGGATGACATTTAAAACTGAAGAGAGGTTTGACTAAGACACTAGAAGGCGTAATGATGACAACGACTATTAAATCATCTTTAAACAAATCAGAGATTGAGTTCCCTGAGGAAAACCTTAAAAATTGTTCTGTTAAAAACCAGCCCTTCTTGGGTTATTTTGAAAAAAGGGACGAGTTTGAGGATATGCTCCACAGGTTTCTTCTTTTAAGTTCCACATGCTTTGTAAAGAAGGCCTTGCACTCAAAGGAGTTAAATCACAAGAGGTTTTCAAAAATGGTAGGGAGTTTCTTTTATTTTTAGCTGATTTTTTGCTTTTATCAATTGGGAGTGGACCTTGTAGAGACCTGATTGTTTGATCTTTTGTAAAAACTTATGCAATGCACCAGCGGAAAAGTGTTGAAACATTTAAAACTGTTTGATATAAAAGAAAGCCCTTGGAAAAAACTTTAAGTGCTTAACCTAGTATACCAAAATACTTTTTCAAATTATGTATTCTAATTAGTGTCTCTCGTCTTTAAACACAATGGTGGTAAAGTACCAATCCAATTTTTTGGCAAACCGTTACCATTGTAAGCAATGAAACTCGGCATTGCCTTCAAGGACCAACAAAGGTGAGAAATCCTTTTGTAAACAGAGTTTGAAATGTAATCAAATGTATCAGTTGTACTCCATTTTGTATAACCCATGAAACTATTATAAGTTTTTTTAGGTATTTTAGTGAAGGAATCCTTTGAGCTTTTTGCATGCAGAGGGAAAGCTTTGCTCTATTTGATTTGACCCAATGTCAAAGGGTCTTGATGTTGGCTGTCAAGCCATGCTGACCTGTCACAGAAGCTTTGATAGAAAGCAGATCTGTGCTGCTCAGTAATTCTTAGCAAACAGAGTTGTGAAGAGGGTGGCAAATGGGGAGTTCCAAGCACACATCACGCATCACCGAGATTTGTAGCGTGATGCAAGTGAAATAGCTGCAATTGAAGAACAGTTTCCAGGAAGTGTGGCATACATTTGCGACTTTCATGGGATAAAGACTCTTCAACGGTAGGCATGATCGAAGAAGAACAATCTACCATCTGCAGAACAAGATATGTTTCTAGAATTTATGAAAGGCATAGGCTAAGTGTCTTATAAGGATCAATTTAAAGAGTGAGTAAAGGCACTTAGAAAATCCAACCTTTACAAAGATCATGAAACTTTGAAGGACTATGTTGAAAACACCTGGCTGTTATGTGCTTATTGATGAGTCCAGGCTTTTCGTAAACAGCAGGCAATCAACATAGTAAATACCAGCAACAGAATTTAAGCACAGAACAAAGTATTTAATACGAATATTTATCAAGATCAATAGACAAGTCCATTTATGGTATTGCAACTATTTTAGTGGAATGATTTATCCCGGAATTCCTATCAGCAATACCTGCAAAGCAATTTAATATTCAGTAGTGCTTAAGGAAGGTACAATTCCTCTATTCCTGCTTACATGCAAAACAGACCCCCACAATTTGTGAAGCACTGCTTGAAATCTCACTTTCAGGCAAGTGAATACCAAGATGGCGATGTATTGATCCTCTGTTAATTTCCAGAAAGGTGAATTTCACATGAAAAGTTTCAGTAAGTTGAAGCAGAAACATCTTGTCCAATTAACAATTCCAAGTTGCACCTGTGAAGCCTGGCAGAAGTCCCAATACCCTAGTAAGCACTTCTTCATGGTGTTCAAAGCCTACCGAGAGTGGGACTTTAATACTCTTCCAGAGGACTATAAAATCAGTGTATTCATCACTCTTGACACTGAACATTTGAATGTTAATTTCCTGGTCTTCAGTGAGGAAGATGCACCACTGCATGCCGCTCAAATAAGAGACAATTTCATTGAAGAGAAGGAAGATGCTTTTAGTGAATGCAGCCCGTCAGAACTGCCGGATATCAAGGAAACTCCTAAGGACAGCACAGAAACACAAGTTGGCAGAAGAGCAATTGAAGGGATTAAAACGGGTCTGCCTTCCCTCAGCACAAGACTGAGAAACAACCTTCAAGAGTAACTGAATGCTGTGAAAGATGTTGCTTTTCTCATGGATGACAACAACATACTCATGCAGGGAGGCATTAAGTGGCATAAAGGTAGTCTTCACCATGCTGACAAAAAATTGTCTCAAAAATCATGGCCTCCCTCTTAGAAATAGTCCAGTGAAGGAGAAATTAAAACTAAACCAAGTTGAATAACACCAGGTGTTGCACAAAAAGCTACCTAAACAGAGGAAATGGAAGAAGAGGACTTCTACACCTATCGTGTTGCCAGACAAATGATGACGAGCGAGGTAACTTAACAATAAAAATATTGATACATATATTTGAATAGAGCTTACTTAGTCGTCTTAAAAAGAAATAGGTTTTTACATGTGAAAACTTAAGGAACTATTCCTCTTTATGACCAGATCATTCTTTCCATCGCATAAAAATAGAAATAGCGTTCCTACCACTTAAACTGTTCATCATTTTTTCGGCAAACTGGAGAAGTAATTGCGGACTTGCCGTGACTTTGAGTAGTGAGGACAGTGACCAGTGCAAAGAAACAGAAAATAGAATTTCTGAAGAACCCAAGCAAGCAACAAACAGTTTGCGGTTAATCTCTTATCAGGCTAAGCTCTTTGATTTTAAGAGGGTACTACTCCAGTAAATTTTGCCATTGTTTCTATTTTTCATTTCTGTCTCTTTCAGAGACAGTACCTTTCATGGCTAACAGCAAATTTGGAAATGTGACCCTGTCATGTGTCTTCTCGATGCAAAGGGAGTTAACCTAGGGATACACCATGTCATGCTTGAGATCGAACCTTCAAGACTAAAGGTTGGTGACCTGTGGATACTTCTTCCTCTGCATGTGGCCATGCAACACTCCTCAGAGACGAGCTCTATTAAGGACTTTGTCAGAGGTTGAGCCATAGACAAGGTACCATGTTCATAAAACAATCTGTGTCACAAAATATTATTTATGTATATGCTACAATCAATCAATTTTTGTGCCTCTTCTATTATACCAGGTTGTGGAAGCTGTGCTATGGAAATTGACCCCACAGTATAATGGCCTGTTTTATGCAGACAGCACCTTGGCTGAAATTATTAAAATTGGATGTAATACATATTTGGTTTGGTCAGGAGAGAGATTCTCAAATGTTACCAGGATATTTGTTCAGATCATAAAATCTGGAAGCCACTGGACTCTGTTGGTAAGTGTAACATACACACTGGTAACATTACTCAATGGCTATCTGAATCATATACATTTATTTCTTGACCAGTGGTTTCTATAACAAAATTAAATTACAAATTAAATTACACTAAATCTAACGACCAAAAATAAATGACAAATGAAATAAAAAAAACCAAATAAACAGGTGGAATGAAAACTTAAAACACACCTGACGGTTTGAATTTTGAAAGAATGCAAGACGCAGCTTAAAGACATACAACACCAAACTACATAACATAACAAAACTTTTTGCGCAAACACTGCAATATATCTGTTGATGCAAGGGGACTCAACCCCACCACATGAATGGATCACTGGTCTCCAAAATTTGTTTTAACAGTAGGCTTTTGTTAAAACTTAATTGAAGTGTTTTACTGAAAGAGATAACCAATTCATAGCAAATTTGATTAAGGAAGGGTATGTTTGAGGTGAAATTAAGAGCCCTAACTTCTTGTTTTTAAGATCTTGGACAAATCAACAGCGAGCAGGTACTACTTTGACCCTTTGGCAGGAGATGTTCCATGAGAAATAAGTCCTCTAACAAATCCTTCTCTTGCATCACTGTTAGATAAGATAAGGTAAGACTAAGTACTGTAGACATGACTTATTGACTTGCCCTGTTCTGCCAACAGAAGAGTGAACATGATAGGAAAGTAAGCTACTTTCAGTGCTTTTAACAAGTGTAAAGTTATAAAGTCATAAGCGAAAAAAACCTGTTCCATTGATTTAGAATGGCAGTCGCTTTGACAATAAAGTAGCCCTTTACTTGCCTGTCATTATATTTGTAGTGAGGTAGCTGACACCAAAACAGGCTGGCTTTCTCTGGCCTTGCATCAAGCCCGTGCACTTTAAACAGAAGGATGGGTACAACTGTGGAATTCTCATTTGTCTCATAAGCAGATAACTCGCTATGCACCCACAGGCGACATTTAGTTTATAGTTTGATATAGAAGTCGCTATTCTTATTAAATCATGAGGTGCTAAGGTATGAAATCTTTACCCTCACAAAATAACGAGCATTACCATTCGACATGCTAGCAGCTGGATGAAGTGCATTCGATTATTTATACCTGGACAACCAATGGTTTCTGCCTTAAAAGGAATTTAAGGGAATACTGCATATTCTTCACTCATTTTTCCCAATAATTGATTGTCATTTTCAACCGTTTCTTTCAGTTTGCAAGATGTTTGTGCAAAGAATCCTCTGTAGATGCAGCTTTCGACATACCAACCAAACATGCACGACTAACGTCTATGGTGTTTGGCTGTTGTTATGATGACATTCACGAATAAGTAACCTAAGTAACAGCTTGTTTCCAAACTGCATATCCTTTAACCTTTCCAAGCATCAGGTTTGATCCTGATACAGGGTTAAGAGTCAAAGTCAGAGATCTGAGCCAATAAAGAAGAGATATTTAATTGAATGATAATGAAATATATGTTTCGTCTGCTGTATGAGAAATATCAAAGTCGGCAAAGTGTGCCATGACAACGATGGAGAAGATAGGCTGGAATGTGACAGTTGTGGCCAGTACTTCCACACAAGTTGCACCAAAGTGGACTTCTCAGAAACTCTCTCTAGCTACTTTGTCTGCCCTTGTTCATATTACATAAACAAAAAACTAGACTCAATGCTGCAAGGAGAATCTCTCTCAAAATTTACTTTTTAAGAGATGAAATTATTGTCTAAAATTCAAACATTACTGTTAGGTTTATTGGCACATTGATAACCTTGTAAATAGCTCATCTGAAAACATTTGTATTAGTTTTGTATATCTTTATACTCTGTTCAGTGCGATCTTACACATTTTGGGTTTGAACTTTTTGTGGGGAACAAGTGCTACACCTTACATGACGTTTTTAATTTTGACCGCTGTACCTGTTTGTGCGACCCTCGACGAATGCCTTCGATACAGTGTCACCCAACAGAGCTGAATAACGTGAATGCATGCGCTAGCTTTTTTTGCGGAAACACGGATCTTGAGTCATTCGCATGAATGATTTCCTATTCTGTTGTTTTGAGATGTCGTTTGCCTTGCTGCCTTTCTTTTACAGAACAACTCCAAAACCTTGGTACACCCCCTGAAAAGTTTCAAAAATTAATTTTCTCCTTAAAACCTCTGGAAATAGGAAAATGCCTTCGACGAAAACAGAGTTCCTCGGTTTTAAAAGACAGCCCTTACTATTTTGCGCTAATTTCGCTAAATTTTATAGACCAAGGACACTTGAGCCTGCGTTGTTGACGGCAACCCGCTGACGTAGCATTTCATTGTTCAGCTCTGTCGTGTCACACATTTGTGTGGAAGGGAACCAAAATCAATCACGATCACCCATCGGAAAAAAAGGACCTCGGTAGATTAATAGATTAATTGCAAAGTTAACTTCAAATTGCAACTTAAATACATTCACCGGAAATCCACAGATAAATATACTCCATCGTCAGTGAACGGCTACAGTTTTCAAAGACATGTCAAGTGCTGGGCCATGCTACATAGGAAGTGTTTCGAACAAGTTCTACAGAATGCAGAACTAACCTCATTGCGTTTTCATAATCCGATACCTCCTTGTACAGCTTAGCAAAGGCAAACCCTTTGTTACTTCGCTGAAAGATAAGTCGAAAACACTATTAAAAGTTCTGAAATGAGCTACACATAAAATTGAAGGAAAACGAGAACAAATAAGTAAGACATCCAACCTCGCTTGCATTCGCACAGTGTCTCTGCATTTGCGCTACATATTTATCGACCTGATCTTTCGTCCACACCATACTATCTAGATATCAGCACAAGAAATATGAGGCTATCAAATTTTCTCGTACTTTTTCACCATAGGAATCGAACTCTACTTTCAAAAGATGACCGCGAATTCAAGTTTTATCCAGACGCATGAATTACAATTATTTGCCGCTGAGCACAGTGATTGATAATGAGTAAACGTATGGAAATTTGGTGTTATTTGTGTAGTGTAAACAATCCTCTGATTTTTCAACAACTAAGAAAGCATTGCTGATCAAGAATATTTCGGTATGTTAAGTTTACATTTCATAGAAATGTAAGCATTTCATATCGTTTTCGATATGGTTATCCTCAATGAGCGGTGATTTGCATCCCGCAACTTGACTTCCGGAATTTCTCAGAAACTGAAACAAGCCTTCTGTTGAAATGTCGCTCTGCGAAAATCAGTGAACATTTTTCCTCCTTCTGTCTTTATTTTAATCGTGGTGGTGTTTATTTGGTTATGCGTAACCTGTCTCTTTCCCGAAGTATTTTCACTGATTCGGAAAGGCCTGTAACATTCTTGATGAGGTATAAAGAAAAGGCTGTCGCGCGCAGGATGCCTCGTATTGTCAAGGGGTTAATTTCCTTTTTAATTTTGCGTAGAGATCAAAATTTGTAAACCTGACGCTGATTGATTGCGTTTCTGAGCCAAAAAATGGATGAGGACAAAATTATCTCTGAGAGAGAAAGAGCACTTCAAGAGAGGATTGCTCGGTTGGAGAAGAAACTGGAAGGATGTCAGTCCCAGATAGGTCAGTAACACATATCTACATTTATTATATCGCTGGAAGCCCCCGCGGGCAATATGACGCGAATCCCGTGTTCTGATTAGCTACCTGAGCAGGTAAGATGGGCTCATACTGCCTGCTCGGTAGTCTAAACAAAGAAAACACAAACGACTCTCGTGGATTAATTGTGCAACAAACACCGTTGGCTCTCTTTCCTAGTTCTCTAGATGAACAAGTCATTCTTGTTTCTTATTACAGCGAAACCTTTGCTATATAACAAACCCTTTATGAACCAAGCTCATTTGGACAAAATGGCTGGATATTAGCATCCAACCATCTTGACCTCACGCTCGGTCAACTACCCATATATGCTGTAACAAATGGCGTAATACAAAGTTAACGCCGTATCGACAAACCCGTCTCTAGATCATGGCTCTACAATTATCTCAGGGTAATCAGTAGGAAGAAATCCTGCTAACGTAAGTATTTCCATCCGTCGTTTTGTTGTTCTAGACTTGAAACACCCAAATAAAAAAGGATAAGTTCTATTTTATTCATTTGCGCTTGATCGATTCTTATTTACGGTTTTGTTCCACCCGTGAACGATGTGGCTTCTCATTTTTCTGCAGATATTATTGATGATCAACGCCAGCAACTGGAAGAAAGGGCAATCAAAATGGAGTCTGTCTTGCTAAAAACAACGAAAGAGCTTTCAAACGCGAGAAAACAAGTGAGTTATTTCCTCTCTACAAAGTTGGGATGATTTCCACTTGTGTATCTTGAAATAGGTTTTCTTCTCTTCTGCTGATTTCTACCTAGAAAGGTCCAACGCTCAAAATCGAACCCTTATAATTTATTAATTCATAGCTTAGGGAGAAAGACATGTCAAGTAGTCATCTTGCAGAGAAACTTGAGTCCATGACACAGCAGATAGAAGAGTACAAGGTATGTTTGAAGATCTACGTTACAACTCAGTTAGTTACAATAGCGTGCTGTGCAGACCGTTATCAATATATTCCCCGTTATTGATTGAATATTTATACTATTATTGCAAGCCTTCACCAACTTCACTCAGATATATTTTGTTTTAAAACGTCGAATGTTCACTATGACAAGAATGTTCCTCTATTGAGCAACAATACTGATGAACTCCGCAGAAGTCTAAACTTCAGCTCACACTCACAAGACCTTGTAACATTTTGTACTGTCATCAATTGTTATCATGGCGCCGGGACTTCAAAGAGCAGAAAGTAGGAAAACTGATTGGAAGTCCCACCAGCTAAACTAACTCATGCCTTCCTTTTTTCACAGAGCCTTCTTTTCGAAGAGAGGGAAAAGACTAAGTACAGTATGGAGAGACTGGAAACGATCCTGTCTAGAGTCGAGGCTGAGATGACTTCGCGAAAAGAGTTTCAAGGCTTCCTAAACGTAAAAAAAGTTTTATTGAAATTGAAAAAAATTATTTCATCTTTTCCAATTAGTATTGTGATTGTTTCCACCCTGGAATGTTTAAACACCTTCGAGCAAGAACACATACGAATATTTCATAACCTTAGCCACCAAGGAGAGTTTTTATCTTTCTAAGGCATCACGGTTAACATTGTCTTTCTTCCACGATGAAATATGTAGATTATTAATTTAACTGTTATATACAGGTCAAAGACACTTAAAATCATGCTGTATAGGCGAAGTATTGATTCAAACAGCGTGTGAAAAGGAGTTTGGTTATCACAAAGTTACTATCCAAGCCAAGCAGAGAGACACACCTATATATTCTTTTGCGACAAATTGTCCTCGAAAAGAAACTTTTCTCACGACTTCGAGAAATTTGCAATTGCACTTCCTTGCTCTATGGGGCAACTTTCAAGTGATTGGATTTTCCGTTTACTTCTAGTCGCTCTGTGATTGGTTGAGAAAACTCGGCCAGGCCACCCACTCGACTTATCAGATGCAAACTGAAAACCAATCAAGACTTGAACATTTACGTTTTTCTTCGCTTCTGGTAGCTTGCTTGTTTTTAATTTGTGTTCTGATTGGTTAATGATGGTGTCAACCTTAGTTCACATCAGTCGTTGCGATTACCTTGGTTTTTAGCTCAATTGAAAACTTTCCTAATTAGCGTATTCTCGATTAGCTTTAAATTGTGCTTTCCTTCTTTTTGGTAATCTAGGAGATGCTTATTGCTGTTAAAAAGAACTTAAGCACTCAGCTACGGATTGTCTTCAACAAACTGACGGGATTAGAAAATACACTTCACGAGTCCCCTCAAGAAATGAACCAATCAAAGTGTCAAGTTAGGCCCAGTTTTAAAAAGGCTCCATATTCGCTGGATCCAGAATGCGAACCGCTTGACCCGAAGACCTCATTGAAGAAATATGACGATGAAATTGTGATTGTCTTTGAAAAAGTAGTTACAAATGAGCAAAGAAAAAGAGCAAAACGGCTGGAACTGCCGGAAAATTTTTTTGCATATGAGGACTCCCTGCATGAAACCAGCTCCTGTGAATCAGCAAGAGTTGTGAGGTGAGAAAGACTTTCAGTTTTTACTGTAGATAACAATGCATGGCCAGTTGGGCTACAGGCATATTTTGTGAGGGAGATTCGCTACAGAATTGCGTTTATGTAGATTTTGTGATGAAATATACTTAACCATTTTTTCGTTTTGAAATCACAGTGGGCATAGCCAGGCAGCACTTGAAGACAATTTAACCCCAACAAAGGGTTCAGTAGGCCTGGCTTCTTCGACTTTTAAGCCCACGGCTTATCCTCCCTTGGAGATCCAGTCATTTTGCCAGAGTGTGCCAGGGGTGTGTCCTACCCCTTCCGCTGCTAGCGCTAGTTCACAGCTGTTCGCATCGCAAAATGCAGACAATGGCACTGAAGCAGAAGATGGCGACCGAAATGAGCCAAAACAAAGCCAAAAAACAGAAGCCATACTGTCACTTTTATCTGAATTTGGCGCTTCATCAACCTGCAGAATGGCTATTGGAACAAGTCTGAGCGACATAAAACCAATTTCCACTTCTAATAACTCCAATCAGCCGTATCCACCCGCATCTGATTCTTCATCATCTGGAGGAAGTTTAATGTTTAGCTTTTCTGAACCAAGGCTGGGAGAAAAGGAAACTGTTCTCAGTACTGATTACTCCAATCAACCACCTTCTATTGTATCTTTATCATCGGGCGCGAATTTAAAATTTGTCTCTCTTGGAACGAGTGTAAGTGACACAAAAATAGCTCCTACTTTTGGTGCTTCTAATCAAATGTTTTCAGTTGCATCTGGCCCTCCATCATTAGGCGGAAGTTTGAGGTTTGGCTCTCTTGGAACATATCTAGGTGACACAAAATCGGCTCCTACTTTAGGTGCTTCCAATCAACCGTTTTCAGTTGTATCTAGTACTCTATCATCCGACGAAGGTTTAAGGTTTGGACCTCTTGGATCGAGTCTAGGTGAAACGAGAAGAACTTCTACTTTGGGTACTTCCAATCAACTGTTTTCAGTTGCATCGCAGTCTCCGTTATCTGGCGAAGCTTTGAATTTTAGCTCTCTTGGAACAAGTGTAAGTGACACAAGAACAGCTCCTACTTTTGGTGCTTCCGATCAATCACTTTTAGTTGCATCTGGTCCACCATCATCTCGCGGAGGTTTTAAGTTTGGCTTCGTTGGAACAAATGTAAGTGACACAAAAACAGCTCCCACTTTTGGTGCTCCCGTTCCATCGTTTTCAGTTGCATCTGGTCCACCTTCATCTGGCAGAGGTTTTAAGTTTGGCTTTGTTAGAACAAATGTAAGTGACCCAAAAACAGCTCCCACTTTTGGTGCTTTCGTTCCATCGTTTTCACTTGCATCTGGTCCACCATCATCTGGCGGGGATTTTAAGTTTGGCGTTGTTGGAACAAGTGTAAGTGACACAAAAACAGCTCCTACTTTTGGTGCTTCCGATCAATCGTTTTCAGTTGCATCTGGTCCACCATCATCTGGCGGAGATTTTAAGTTTGACTTCGTTGGAACAAGTGTAAGTGACACAAAAACAGCCCCTACTTTTGGTGCTTCCGTTCCATCATTTTCAGTTACATCAGGTCCACCATCATCTGGCGGAGAATTTAAGTTTGGCTTTGTTGGAACAAATGTAAGTGACACAAAAACAGCTCCCACTTTTGGTGCTCCCGTTCCATCGTCTTCAGTTGCATCTGGTCCACCTTCATCTGGCGGAAGTTTTAAGTTTGGCTTCGTTGGAACAAGTGTAAGTGACACAAAAACAGCTCCTACTTTTGGTGCTTCCGTTCCATCGTTTTCAATTGCATCTGGTCCACCATCATCTGGCGAAGATTTTAAGTTTGGCTTCGTTGGAACAAATGTAAGTGACACAAAAACAGCTCCCACTTTTGGTGCTCCGGCTCCATCGTTTTCAGTTGCATCTGGTCCACCTTCATCTGGCGGAGGTTTTAAGTTTGGCTTCGTTGGAACAAGTGTAAGTGACACAAAGACAGCTCCCACTTTTGATGCTCCCGTTCCATCGTTTCCAGTTGCATCTGGTCCACCATCATCTGGCGGATATTTTAAGTCTGGCTTCGTTGGAACAAGTGTAAGTGACACCAAAACAGCCCCTACTTTTGGTGCTTCCGTTCCATCGTTTTCAGTTGCATCTGGTCCACCATCATCTGGCGGAGATTTTAAGATTGGCTTCGTTGGAACAAGTATAAGTGACACAAAAACAGCTCCTACCTTTGGTGCTTCCAATCAATCGTTTTCAGTTGCATCTGATCCACCATCATCTGGCAGAGATTTTAAGTTTGGCTTCGTTGGAACAAGTGTAAGTGACACAAAAACAGCCCCTACTTTTGGTGCTACCGTTCCATCGTTTTTAGTTGCGTCTGGTCCACCATCATCTGGCGGAGATTTTAAGTTTGGCGTCGTTGGAACAAGTATAAGTGACACAAAAACAGCTCCTACTTTTGGTGCTCCCGTTCCATCGTTTTCAGTTGCATCTGTTCCACCATCATCTGGCGGAGATTTTAAGTCTGGCTTCGTTGGAACAAGTGTAAGTGACACCAAAAAAGCCCCTACTTTTAGTGCTTCTGTTCCATCTTTTTCAGTTGCATCTGGTCCACCGTCATCTGGCGGAGATTTTAAGATTGGCTTCGTTGGAACAAGTGTAAGTGACACAAAAACAGCCCCTACTTTTGGTGCTTCCGTTCCATCGTTTTCAGTGGCATCTGGTCCACCATCATCTGACAGAGGTTTTAAGTTTGGCTTCGTTGGAACAAGTGTAGGTGGCACAAAGAAAGCTTCCGCTTTTGGTGCTTCTGATCAATCGTTTTCAGTTGCATCTGGTCCACCATCATCTGGCGGAAGCTTTAAGTTTGGCTTCCTTGGAACAAGTGTAAATGACACAAAGACAGATTCTGCTTCCAATCAACCGTTTTCAGTTGCATCTTGTTCCCCATTATCTGGCGGAAGTTTGATGGTTGGCTCTCTTGGGACAAGTGTACATGTAGGTGACACAAAAATAGCTCCTACTTTTTGTGCGTCCAGTCAACCATTTTCATTTGCATCTGGTTCTCCATCATCTGGCAAAGTTTTAAAGTTTGGCTCTCTTGGAACAAGTCTAAGTGACACAAAAACAGCTCCTTCTTTTGGTTCTCCCAATCAACCGTTTTCAGTCGCATCTGGTCCTCCACCTCTTAGACCAAATCTAGCTGAAACGAAAACAGTTTTCACCACTGGTAACTCTACTCAACCATCTTTAATTGCAACTGGTGGATCATTGTCTGGTGGGGATTTAACGTTGAGCCTCAGTGGAACAAGCTCAGGCGACACGAGAACAGGTTTCACTTTTGGCAACTTGAATCAAACATCTTATTCAAGCCCGGCACCTTCATCCAGCTTTCCGAAAGGAGGAGGTGTAGGTTAACAGTTTAAACAAGCTGATAGATCATAAGAATTTACCATCTGTATGGCAAATAACGATACTGATAAAATAGTGTGAGGCTTTCGAAGTAGGTTCTTGTTTTTCTTTTAGAGGCTTTAGTAGAGGCGAGGGAAACATATGAAACCAGTTTTAATTTCTGGTAATTCGGATTGAGTTCTCTTGGTTCGGAGTGAAGCCTCGTCTCCCAGAAAGTTTTCCTGTGTTTAGCTGAAACACTAGAAAAACAAAGGAAAGTTTCGAAGCCATCGCTTTTCTTCTGGATCTAGGGCTCTATTTTCAAGCAGTTTTTCACTTTGGCTTAGCTATGCCTCGGGAAGGACAAAGAGAAGGTGTGAAACAGTTGTTTTCTTTGGGGTTTAGAGTTCACCACCTCACAAAGAGTTTACAAATAGCACCATGGCTCGGAAAAAGAGAGCTGAGGAACTTCTGTTTTTCTTGAGGTTGAAGATCGACTTAATAGGCTGGCACACTATTTCATTGAGTGACATGGCTTCTTAAATTTAGGTAGGGGTGAAACCAGTAAAATCACAAAAATATAACACACAATTGTTTATGTTTGGTCGAGTACATCGTTATTGTTTTAACAGGCTTTAAAATTGTATATCTGTGCTTATGTCCTCTCCTAAACTTCTGCACCTTGGACGACCATCCGATGAAGGAGAGCTCGAATACGTTGAATTAGTTTTGAAATAACTAATCCCTCAGAAGGATTCTCTGGGAGTTAACACTCTTAAATTGGACCATTACAAAAAGGCCCATCAGTTTAAAACTACATTCCAACATTTATTCCGACTAGTGGAAATAAGTAAACAAAATAACGTCGTTCATTTTAAGAATACGAAAATAACAATTCCTCTTACAAATTTACAAAAACGTAAGGAATACCTAGGAAAAATAATATTTACAGGTGACAAAAAATATTTCTTGTAAATAAAAATAAAACGACAGAGTTCACAACTGCAAGATTCATTGTAATGGGTTCAACAGAGTAGGTAGTGCACTTTTCAACCACTCCTTCCCCTGCACAAACTGTATCTGATCTTTCACTTTTAATGGAAAAATAAACGAACAGTGCCTAGTCACATTTTTCACTGAACAAAGATGATCGTGGTCCTGTTGGAATTGATTTGCCAAACATTCAAGTCTTCATACTCCCCAAGACAGGCATCAAATTGATCCGGCGTGAACCCCTTTGTCAAACATCGTTGCTGTGCATCTGAAAGTCTGAGGTGAAAAAAGGCATTTATCATGTAGAAAATCATCAAGCAGATCGCCAGCTTTCTTCTCATCCCCTGAACTACTTGCGCCATCACTTCAGCTCACAAATATATCGTGAGATCCCCACAATTACTGTCAAAACATTCAAGACAACAACACCCCATAAAAATATCCAAGGTTAGATCTCCAGCTGAAATTTTCTTGATGTAGTTTTGAAATGATAATTTTTTTCCAAACACTTCATTCAGTAATTTCAAAGAGTTACTTACTTCACACTGCTAGCATTCCCAGCCAATTCTTTTATAATTCCATAAATAGCATCAACTGGATTTACAGTCCTGGAGAAAAAAAACAGGCTTGTTCAATGAGTAAAATGTTACACTACACTGAACATATTTATTTCTTGATCAATCATATCCTGTATTCAGTGAGTCTTAATGGCATAAGGGGATTAGCATTAAAGGGACCAAGTTAGCTTCTGATGGGTTTTATTGCCCCACATAGACTGTACAGGGGAAAATCAATCCTCTAGTGATAGCACCATCTGCATACTTTCAATTTCCATGAATGATGATACCACCCTTAAGGTTTAAGAGAAAACCCTGCAAAGAACTGAGCCACATTTTATACAGCGCTTCTTTATAAACCTCAGTGTCAGCAGTATTTTGGACAACAGTATTGTAATTATGGCATATCCTTTTAATAGCCTTTCTTTAATCTGGTGGATCTCTCACCTTGTTTCAGTTTCATCTTCAGTTAAGGAAGCCTTTGACATCTCCATAAGTCTCATGGCTTCATTCACATATTCCTTCGCCACCACATCCGCCAAACGGAGAAGAGCCTATAGAAAGATAACAAACACTCCATTTAAACTACAGACACAAGGGCCAACATGCAGGGCTTATACCATTTCTACAGCATGTAAAGGGCACAGATAACCCATTGTGTTTGTCTGTGCCCCTAGTACAATTTCTTCATGCTATATTATCCCAATGGGAATTTACTGAAAGGACTAAAACCTTAAACAAAGCAAAATGGAAAATAGAATTGACCTTCCCAATCTTCCTTATCCCAAAAGAGCATATTTGTTTTATCATCTGATGGAGTTTTCTCTTAATTTTTTTTCCATGCTCTTAGTTTCTTGCATATATTACAATCATATGTGTAATAATGTTAACATTTTTGGTTTTTCTCTGTATGGGATCCCTCACCTTAAACTAGCACTTGAATGAGAAAAGGTTACCCTTCACAATCTGTCTAATAACTCTTTAAAATAAGGCACTTGAAGGAAAGACACAGGAAGTACTGTAATACAAGTACTAACCAAGGCAGTTGCAAGACGCAGAACAGCCAGGAGTGTTCTTGCTGAGGTGAAAGTTGTGTCTCTGTTAGTCCTGGCTTCCTTTCTCATTTCCACATTTGCACTGACAATGTAATCCGTAAGAGCCTCAGGGATCAGAGGTTGTTTTTCCTTGCATACAGCAATGTAGCGCCTGTGAAAGAAAAAATTGTTAAGACTAAATGTAGCAAAAGTGCACCTGCATTCAGTCCTTAAGGGTTCTACAATCACGTTGTTTTCATTTTCTGAGACAAGTGAATTTTAGCAATTGTATATAAAAACATACTCCATACACTGTAGCGTTTACGGCGACCAAAATCTAAATTCTAAAGTTCAAGGGCGTGTCGCTCCAAAACGCGGTTAACGAGGTGTTTGGGACTATTTTACTGATCGAAATGACAACCCAAAGTTGACTGTTTGCACGAATCTTTATTCTTGAAAAGCAATCGACCAAGAACCACAATCAATGACGAAAATAACGATTATTGTGACAGTCAATCAATCTATCGAACGATCGATCGTAAACTGAAACAACAATACAACGAAGTTCTATCAATCTAACGAAAAGCCGCGGAATACATGATCAAAGAATCGCATGTTAAATACTGGGCTCTAAAGTCTATAACGAGATTAACAATACAAGTGAAACAGAACAAAAGTTTGNTTGTATATTGTCGCCCAACACTGAAAAGACTGGAGAGGGAAAAACAAAGTTACAAAGGTACTCACATATCGGTCCCGCTTGTGCCAGAGGTTGAGAAAAACGAAAGGGCGAAAGTTTACCAAGGCTATTCAAAACTTACGAAGAACTGATTAAAGGGACGCTAAAATTGCCTTTTATATGCGCGTGGTGACGCTGAAAGGTCCGATTACAAAACCAATAGAAATACAGAAAAACAGATAAGCATTGTAACTATGTGGCTATCTAAGATCATTCTGAAATTAGTGAACTAATCAATAATCAATCAAAAAATGAGCCTTCTGGCTAATGTCCTTAACATACACCAATGCATAAGAAAGTTGCATATCATGTAGACATATCTTTTCTTTGATGCATTAAGAAAACACTCACACATTTTCACAATTCTAATATTAAACGTTCTATCAAAAGCCTTATTTTCAATACCAGAAACATTTTTTCATCACTAAAATCTTCAGAGGTACATGTAGATCTTTCAAATGTGAGGGGGAATTAGAAGAAACACTTTTACATACCTCATGAGGTTCATGTCCAAAGATGTAAACTGCATTGGAGGGTGTGAGCTGTGCTGATGGACATATGTGATGTGCTGTGCTAATCTGTAAAAAAAAAAAAAAAAAAAAAAAAATTATGCAGCAAGACGACCAAGCTTTCACATCATGTATCTCCGTAGGACTGTTTGGAGGTAAGCAAATACCATTTGTCAATTTTATGGTCTGTGCTCTGCTAACAAGACATAGGCTGTATTTTACTTTTTTTTCACTTGGCTGAGGTCTACCACTACGCTTTTAATTTTCTTAATTTCAATGTGTAGTGTAATAATCTGATGTGTAGTGTAATAAATAATGTGTAGTGTAATAAATCTTCAAATATGTGAACTTCATATATTCAACGAATCAGAATGAGGTAATTCGATCCTGGCACCATGCTTGGTTAAAAATTATCAAATTCATGTACCCTTGGAAACCACAATCATACACATCAGTGAAGAAAATCCGGGGGGGGCAACCTCTCACCTTAAGTCATTATCTCTATCTGGTTTATCCTGAATCAGCCAAAGCAAGTCAAATCTTGACAACAGTGCTGCTGGGAGCTGAATGTTCTGCTCTGCAGATTTCTTTGGATTATATCGTCCGTATGCTGGATTAGCAGCAGCCAGGATAGACACTCGTGCATTCAGGCTTGTCATGATTCCAGCCTTACAAAACAAGAGGTTAATCAACATGTAACAATCACTCATAATAAATAGTAAACTAAAGGTAGTTTCTAAGCCAAGTACTAGGGATGGGCCATAAGGCTTGTAGATCTCACAGACAAAAATTTACAAATAATCATATTACACACCTAGAATCATTTCTCCTGTCAGAGGATCTTTCATGACAGCAGCAGTGAGACCTACTCCTGAGCTTCCATGTCCTGTGGTGTACTGACCTGCATAAGAATAAATTCAACAACATAAGAAATAAAATACATGTAATTAATAAAATCACATTCTTCAGAGAGCAATATAAAATGACCAAGGAAATTATACTTTTAAAGTATGAAAAAAAAAGTAAATTAAAGAGGGCAAATGAGGTGAGTCTGTTATTTGTACAGTGACATGTTCCTAGGACGAGTTTTAAGATAACCATAATATCCTTTATATTTCATGGATTTGACCTAGAAGAGAGGGCTTGGGAAAAAATCTTCTAGAGCTAAATTTTAGTAAACCTCAGAATATTCATGTCCCTGTGGTCAAACTCGTGGTTTTAAAATTAGTTATCTTTCTTAACAGCTGAAATGTTTCATGATTTTAATGGTGGATGACTTCCACAACATTCACTCCCTTCATACGCCATCAAAATTAGTGTGCACAAACTTTGTACACATAGCATCCTGTCTTGCTGATGTCTATCCTACAATTTATGCAGAACCATGACCAGAAATTTCACTTCACAGACAAGTAGCTGTACTTTTCAATGGAGAGACAAGGACCTGTACTGGTGGAATAGACATTACATCTGCCACTGAAACATTAACAAATGCCTCAGAGAAAATGAAAAAGTAGTTCTGGGACTAACTCCCCAGTTACATGCAAAGAATAGACCCAGGAAGACTTACAAGCAGCTCTGCGTGAATTAAGGTAAATTTCATTTACAAACTTATACCTGAAATGACTACTGGAGAAATTAAAAAATAGTTCCATATCGAGACCTTGTACATTGTATTCCTGAACCAACGTCATGATTTTGTTGTATTTCATAGAGTGTACCCAGACCCAGCAACTCAAGATCTGGAGGCACTGGAGACATGTATGTTAATCGATGAATTTGGTCAAAACCTAAAGAGCATGGAAGACTACTAAGCAACACTTGACAAACTATTGAACAAATACCCAGAGTTTCAGAATTACACCAAGAAATTTGTTGTTCCAATCCTGGCTGACTGGCCAGGGTGGTACCACTCAAACAAATTAATTGCAAATGGATGGAATCCCAGCATAAGTATCATACCTGAGCAAGGGCCCTTTCATGTTTGCCCGTTAATGCTTATGAAGATGTTGTCACAAACCTTAAATTTTTTTTTTGATAAACTGTTTTCATGTGTCTTTGGAGGAACTTTGTTTAGTATGGCATACTAAACATGCTTAATTGTGACTGCTGCTCTAGTTGGCTGGCAACTTATCAGAGAAGAAGTACTACGGAAGTTTGGAAAGTGTGAACAGCATGAATTCATATGCATCTTACACTTGCTTGAGCATGTTGTGCCTCTCATTTTTTGTCCAATACAATATTTTCAGAAGTGGTGACCTCAAATTATATGAGAAAATTAAGGCACAAATAGCCATCATTTTCATATGCTGGAAAAGGAAACATTACAATAAGTCATAAGTCAACCTTGTCCTTTTTGAGTAACTGTGCTTACCAATGCAGACATCTTCCAGAATACTGGTTAAGGAAGTCAACACTTCTTAAGCTATTCTCAGAAAAGAAAGTTGAAGTCTGGCACTCTGTTCTGAGAAGAAACACTGAGAAGTTCAATGATGCAAGAAGAGTTAAAGATATTGCAAGGACGTCACTTGCATCATCAGGTTTCTTAAGTGATTTCATACAATCCTTTGTTCTGCAGTACCACCAAGACCACTCTCAACCAGACCTTTGGCTCATTGCAGGAAAAACAGCAGAATTTCTTCTCAATAATTGTTTCACAACATCACACAGAACTGTGGCAAATCACAACAGGTCACTATCCTATGAGAATAAAATATATAGTAAAATCTTTGATAATCTCGATCAGGATAGTACTGTAGTTGCATGTTGTAAAACTGCTTTCCAGGCCACCATAAAAAAAAAAAGAGCTTTCACTTTAAACTAGTTACTGGAAAAAATGCCATGCCCATACACAAATAAATTCTGACATCTGAAAAATTATTTCAGGCCACAGTAATTTGCTTTTACGGTTGAATTGAGATAGGATAGAGGCATTAATCAAAAGATAACTTACAAACAAAAACTAACATAATAAATTTTGTATTTAACATACATTAATAACAAAAATCCAAACATGTGGGCAATAATTTTGCTCATTATTATATCTTAATTTTTTATTTCAGGTTGAAAGCATATTTACAAACAATGGGCAGCCAAGAGGAATGCTGCAGTACTATCTGCCGACTTTTGACACTAGAGTTGATACCAAGTGTTTTCCACTAGGTTACAACTTAGATGATGTAGTACCTGACTTGAAGCCGATGTCACAGTGATATGTGTACCCCCGTGATATGTGTACCCCCGCACACATATCACTAGTGATATGTGTACCCCCTCCAAGATGGCGGCCAGTGATATGTGTATCCCCCACCCCCCTCCCCTCCAAAAAA